CAGAGTTAGCATGCTAGGATTTTAAGTAGCTCACATGAAGATTGGATAGATTTTGAGCCTTGGAGGTAGCTGCACTTGGTAGGAAACTTTTCCTACCTTCTTTGTTATGGGGAAAGGGCCTTCATACTTCCGCACCAACCCCTTAGGCACCTTCCTTAAAGACTTGAATTGTTGAGGTAGTAACTTGACTAGCATTAAGTCCTCAACTTGGAATTCAACCGCACGCCTTTTCTTATCGGCCCACTTTTTCATCTTCTTGGATGCGTTTGCCATCCCTTAGCTAGTTATTTAAAGTGAACAACTCACTTGGTGTCCAAACTTTAGTGACTTCTGCTTATGCCACTTGTCCTCATTTTCCTATTAGAAATATAAAAATAAAATAAAATAAAATTAGATAGTTGACAAGAGCAGAATTCAAACCTTGGACCTTAATTTCTTTATTATTTTTTTTTATTTTTATTTATTTAAATTGTATATGTATCATATGTGACACCCACTAATATATATATATTGAGTGTTTGATTTAACGTTTGCTAATAGGGTACGAAACATAAACAATTTATATAAATTAAAAAATAAATAATTAACTAAAAAATGAAAAAAAAAATTATTTAATTTATATATTTTAGTTATCAACTACAGAAAGCTCATTGGCATACTTTTAATGGGTAGCTCATAAGCTTACTGACTCACGGCCGTCGAAGTAGAACTCCTACGCGCGAATCATAATATGCCGACACAATTTCTAATCATCCCACCAAACTTTCTATCATTTTCAAAAGCATTCAACTTCTTTAAACAATTAAAAATGTTACTAAAATAATGAATCATTCTTTAACTTATAACAAACTATATCAGCAGTACTGCCTCTTTTGCATGACCCCACTTGTCTACATCATCAGAAGTCACAGATAAATAACAATCATCAGCACCAACCAAACTAATATTTAACCAACAATGCTTACAATAATGAGTTGGTAATATAATAGATAAATAATGCCATTAATTTGTTATAAAAGTCAAATACAATGCTTTCAACGGAGAGTAGTGTAATCTAAACCAAAAATAAAATTCAAAATCAACCACTCATTCAAAAATAAATTCAACATGTATGGTGGCTAATCAATATGATTTCATATCCAACCTACCTAGCAAGAAAAATAAAACAAAACAAAACAAAACAAGATAAACAAATGTTTGGAGTGGGACCAATACCGAAGATGCACTGACAACCTCCATGTCAATAAATTGGTTTGAGATTTGCTTAGATTTGTGGGTGTCTTCTTCTTTTGTCTTTGTACTTCAATTTCATTCATCCAATCAGAGAACTTTGTAACACAAATAAAGGAAGCCTCCACATGGTAGAAGTGATTTTTCACGGACGCAACGGAATATCATGCAAAATTAGATATCATTCTAGTAGATAAAAAAGTGTCGGATCCACGAGAACGAAAAACTTGAATGCAAAAGGAATTTACTTAAATTCCGAAATATGATTGAGAAATTAATAATATTTCAGAAGGGCAGTTGGTGATGGTGTTATGCAAATACAGCAACATAGGTAACTGCTTATTTGTACTGTAAAAAATTAGAATAATGACTTGGACCCCCTTTTTTTCCCACCCCCTTGACCCCCTCTTCACTTGATTGGCTACTTTTTCTTTCTTTCTTTTTTTTTATTCCTTCTCCTCCAATCACCACCTGCCATGTGTTTGTTGGGATGGTGGGGGTGATGATTAGAGGGGGTCTCAATCATCACCCAAAAAATTAAATTAGTAGAGAACTTGAAGTCTTGAAATTTGATTGGATTCTTTTGTCCAGCTCAGTGAATTCATTCACCAATAGAAAGCTAATATATGGTTGATAATTGTCTCTTCCTTCCTCCTCATTGGAAGGGACCACTCATATACAGTAAAAGGGTGATTTTGAGTAAAAACATGTGTAAAACATATAATGTAGAAATAGCTCTTAGCCAGAGAATTCACAGTATAGCAAGGGAATTGCATGGATAGGTACATGCAGTGTGGAACCAGAAAATTTAGTAAGAGGGAGCAACCATTAATCATTATATTCAATCATTTTTATTTTATTTTATTTTATTTTTTGTAAACAACATTGACAAAATAATATAAACAGAAATATTTAAGCTAATAATAAACACAAAAATGTAAATATTTATTGTTAATTCGGAGAGAACTATGTATATAAGGTTATATATATATATATATATATATTTAAGGGGGGCTTCAAAGCAATATAAATATTTATGGAGGGAATGAAGGAGTTTAGTTGAAAGGAGCAAATAAGAGAGAGGGTCTACAAACGATTTAGGAGGGCATTTTGAAAAACTTTCGTAAACTAATAAATGTATCAAAATATAATTTTTCAAAATTTGAGTGCCTACCTTAGATCAGCCACTGGGTACATGATACAACAATGCTAGAAGGCACAATTTTTGTGGCCGCAATGACTCAAAACTGTCAAAATGACGTCGTTTTGGCATGTTTTGCACCAAAAACGACGTCGTTTTGACAGTTTTGAGCCATTGTCGCCACAAAAATTGTGGCCCTCAAACATTTTCCGTACATGATATGTCAACAGTGTACTCTATGCCAGTTTCTGGCTTGTAAACGTGCCTCTAAGAGAGCTAAAAAGCTTGGAACAACAAAAGCAAGATTGCTTCTAGAAAATAAACCTGTGTCAGAATATTCTTAGCAAGCTATTTCATATTACAAATCATTTAAATATACATAATTTCCTTCCCAACAATTTTAGAACAGGTAATTTCATGATTTCAGTTTCATCACACCTCAGTTCTAAGCGCTTTTGCTGATTTTACTGATTGTTCCATATTACGTTATAAACTAAACATACTTTTAAACAAAATAACATTTCAGTATGACTGTTTAAACACCCAAGGAGTTAATGATGCATTTTATTTTTTGAAGGCAAATTGAATCAATAAATGAAAATAGAACATGGTTATTCTTTTAGGTAAAGATGAAGAAAACAAGATTCTTTTAGGTAAAGATGAAGAAAACAATGTCGAACAATATAGCATTTCAGTAGTTGTGATGGTTAATGTGCAGCTCACCAAACTACGTTCTGTTGTTGACTCTAGGTAAGTCAATAAGCAACTCAATTTTGTACTTAAAAAGTGCTCAGGCATGCAGAGGATTATCCTCCTAAGGTGCTAAATACACGCCAAATAAATAATGCAGTAGGTCTCACTCAAAGTTATTATACGGATTACCTCTGAAATTGAAGATTTGCGGTGTTGCAATTCTGAATTAGTAATGCAATCTGAATTGCAGGGAAGCAGTCCCAGTCCATATTAATGTTTATTATTTAGATATATATTCTGGATCACAACCAGTTGCTTGAACCTCTTCACACAGTTACTCCTTTTTCAGGGTTTGGCATCCACAACGAACATTAACCTTTAAGATGGAAATGAAATTGCAATTTAAACAGAGATATGACAGTTGACCAAGTAAAATTGTACTAACACACACACAAAAGTGGCAACCAGATGAGGCATTTATATGTGTTATATTGCCTCAGACAACCCTATGCTTACAACAGATACATTGAAATAATTTATAATTTCAGCAAGTGAAAAGTAGAAGTTCCTACAATAGTTTTTAAATCACAGTTAGCATTCTGAAGTCTCCCCTTCATGCAGTTGAAAATTCTTGAACATCCAAATAAATCAAGTTAACAGTTCAGAGCGGGTTATTCTAATAAATGAATTCAACATTAATCTACTTTCTGACTAGAAAGGTGCATTGTCTGTCAACTATATTAGCTAACAAATGAAAACTTAATTTGTTACTCAAAATAATGTTAGATTGCAAAGATAAGGTAACCTTTAGTTTAGCAGTAACTGAGGTAATTAAAACTCCACTGTGAATAACTTCCAACATCAGTAACCAGGTTTGTGTTCTAAAATTTTCCTCTTTCAAGTGGCCTAGCAGGCTACTCAAAAGGTAAGACTAAGGCTATTTTATATTTGCATAATCCTATTTTACTAACTAGAGGTAATAAATAGCTTAGAAGGTGCTTCTCCCCTCCAATGTGAGCTAAGATTACAGCGTATTTAATTTGCATTAGTCCTGTTTAGTTAAAATTTCTAATGAATGAATCCAAGGGAGTTCATCCACCCCTCCTTAATGGTCAAATTTCACCTTTCTATAGAAGTGTCAAGTCCTTGATGTAACTAATGCTCAATAGAATACTAGCATAGTTATATTATTCATAATAATGACATCGTAAATGTGAGACTGGGAAGTCAAGCTTTATTAATTTTATTCCTTAACCGGAGCAATGCTAGGGACCCTAGAAAGACTACCAAAATTCTATGTTTTGTAGAATTTTGGTAGAATCTTGGTAGTTTTTTTTAGGTCCTAGCATTTTTGTTTAAACCGTGGATATACAGGTTTCCTATTTCTGCTCATTAGGTACCGTACGAATACTTTGACAAAACAAAGTAATAAGCAGTATATTGGAATACCTCCTAAAATAGAAATATAAGGTAAATAGATCACTGAACATTGACACAAGAATTAAGATTTAATGCCGGCAAGATAAACTGTGGAGTAACTACAAAATGTTGCCTTTTTAGAGCACTTCTCGGGTGCAGGACATTAACCTGGATGAGATATCTCCCGGCATATATAGATGTGTGCAATAGGGTAGCTTTCTGCATGTCAACGCAAACACAAGGATAAATCTAATTAGAATTTGATAGTAATGATCGATACCTTGTGTTTTCTCTTCTGCTGGCTCATAGCTGCATCTGCTTGATAAAAAGTTCTACTACTTCGATGTGGAAACCAAAGGAGCTCACTCAATTTGTGGCTCTTCCCATTAACAGTCCAGTACTAATGCCTATTTCACTTGAACATTGCTCCTTCTTGAAGCGAACTTGTTGAAGCCATCAAATTGCTTTCCAGATCCTTGTTTGATCATTTAAGGCTTTCCTGTTTGCATCGATGATGAAAATGGAAGCATACTCTTTCAACAGTTTAAATCTCGCAACACTACGATAGCAAGTTCTAAACAAAAATAGTTGAAACAGCACCAGACAGAATGGCCAACATTTTATTTCTATATATTTTACACACAACAAGCTTAAGTATTCACGCACAAGTTTAAAAATAAAATAAAATAAAATAAAAAAACCATAAACAAACAAAAACAAAAACCACAGGCTCACAATTATATCAAACAAATTCAAAGCGCATAAGAAGCTTTACAGATTTATACTTCTCTCCCTTGTGACTATGGAGTGGAACTGCTCGAATACCGCTTCTCAGCTCTGACACTGGTAGGCATGTTTGGCCTCCAAAATCATCCTTTTCAGATATGTCATACTCATGAACTTCAATTCTAAGCAGAGCCAATTCTGGAACTGTTAATGGAAATTCAAACTCCTCATTCCAAGCTGGTATCCAATTGTCCTCAATTATCTTTGTTTTCCTCATTACAGTATCAGCAGGGACTCCAGCAATTCCAACCTGCACGGAGAGGGAGATAAACCCACTTAGATACCTAAACTGTAATTCACTTGCTCCAGATTTTTACAGTAAAACCCAAGTAATATCATAATGCAAATGCAAGGGCCCGAAATAACCAGTATCTCCTAACATATGCCACAGACTGTATAGGGCTTAGTAGCAGGAAACTCCTACCGGGGTGACTTTTCTTACTCAAAAACTCAAACTAAATAAGAAACTTGTTCCTTTGAGAAGAAACTTCCTCCCAATTGAGACATAATCTCTCAAACATATAAATCTCAAAAAAAAAACAAACAAAGAACAATTTATCCTATTACTTTTTATTTTCATAATATTTATTTATACTTGACAAAAACAATTTGCATTTGACACCAATCTCTAATAGTATTCATATTTTAACATATATGATATATTGTAAAAATATATGTATTATTGATTGATATTTGTTTGATTCATTACAATGATTCATGATTCCTATATATAGAAGAGGGTGAGTGTGTAGTAGGTAAGGAGTAGGTGAAGTGGAGGTGGTAGTGGTGTAGTGGGTTAGGTTTAGTGGAGTAGGTGAGGTGGTAGTGGTGTAGTGGGTTAGGTTTAGTGGAGTAGGTTTAAGTGGGTGAAGTAGGTGATAGGTTTTAACATATATCACAGCTAAGAAGAAAAAATATTTGTTAAAATATATTGGGTAAAATTTATTTTACCCCCTCGTGGTTTGGGGCTAAAACGCTTTACCCCCTATGGTTCAAATATAGCAAGAAAGCATGGTTTTGGACTAAAGTGCCATAGGTGGTTTACAATTTATATGTTTATATATTTAAATATATAAATATATATAATGTATACACATTCCCATAGGTTCTCTCAGTGTTAGAAACTTCTATATGCCCTCGCCCTCCGGCTCTCACTCTCAGCCCCACCACGCCCCTGTCCCTGTTTTGTGCAACTAAGTTATAGGGATGTTGATGGCCCATAACCACAACACTACACATTTGGAAGGAACATTAACTGCAGGAAATTCACACAAATAGAGACCATGATTCCATTCTGTGGATCATTAACTTCTCTCTTAATTTAGAATCTGAACAAAATATTTTAAGAAAGAAACTATATCCACTTTTTCCCTGAAACTATGGCAAATAACAGAAATGGAAAATTGAGCATTTTTTAATGCCATGGTTCCTTATACACCTTTTTTGTCTGAAATAGGACTAGCAAACATTATCATAGTTATGACTTTTAATAAGAGAAATAGCAGGTCTCTATTGTAATCAAAATGAATATTATCCAAGACATTGACAACAATTACAATATTGATGACTGTATCAATTTACCCTTGTATAGAAATCCGGTGGGGAATATGCATCAAAGTGTGTGTGATGGAAATCAAAATACCACCCTTCACCCATATAAACAGTCACCTGTTTCGAAGCAACAAAATTCAAATCAACCAAAAAGAATAGATGAAGTAAAGTAAATACACAGAAATATATAAAGAATTATGATGGGTAAAGAAATGGAAAGAGAAGAACTTTCTAGCAGAAGTGCAAGGAAATCAAGTATGGTTAAAAGTCCTGGTAATAGCTGACTCACCTTCAAAGTTGTTTTGACTGGTAATGTAGCTTTAGGATCAAAGACCTCATTATTTGGACCGACCTTTAACAAAAAATCGGGCTTTTTCACATATCCACAACCACCATTGGCCCTGAACATCCCATGCATCATCCACAATGATCGTCCATAGCCCTGTCAAAAAAACAAAAAAAAAAAGACATTCTTGGTATTTATTTTTTGTCTGTTTAAACTTCCAATAAATAAATCTCCAAAGCTCAAATCAATCATCCAGTCAAAGCACAGTTAATATATAGATTGGTGAGTTCAATTGCAAACAACTTATGGTGCAAATAATGATGTGATTAGTCATTTCTTCAAACAACTTCAAACCATGCTGCAAATTTGATGACTACACTATTATGGGAGATTCTTTTGGTAAGCTTTGTTCTGAACAGTTGTTATTAGCTTCCTCAGTCACATGTGTAGCGTTCATAAGAATCCAGTTGAGCATTGACCAACTAAACTGCATGTGACTTGAGCTTTACTTCAGAATTTTTGAAACTTAAAAAAAGCAATTGTCCTTCAAATCAGAAACAGACCAATGATTCTATTAGTGCGCTCCTAATTACATATAGTTATACAAAATGATAAACCCGAGTGCTGCTTTGGCTTTCTTATTTCCCATCTAATGGCTAAATCTCTTGCAAAGACAGACACTTGAGTAAAATATTTCTTGCTATTCTGGTTCTATAGGCAATATTTTTCAATTTACTTAATCATTATTTATGAAAAGGGCAACAAAAAGAACCCTGGTTGATGTTATTCTTTTTTTGTAAAGAAATAAAGCTTATATATACACATAACAACGAACAAAATTCAGGAATTCAACATAGGAAGTGCATGTAGCAAACTGACTCTACAACAATAAAGTCTTTGCATGGAGAGAGGAGGGAGGAAGAAAATGGAAAAACTAAATAAATGAATAAATAACTAACCTGCATATTAAATGCAACCATCTGAGCTCCATGCATCCAACCAATTAGTGGATTATAGTTGGATGAATCAAAGCGGATACCTTTTGGATACACCCTCAACATGTTCCTCTGGGTAAACCTAAAGCAAACCAATTATCACAAAATGGAAAACTTTCTTAATTAATGATTAAAACAGATGCATGCTCCACCACTCAATTACAATGAAATCATGGTCAAAACATGTAATACTGAAGAAATGTAAGCTACAGCACAGTACACAAGGTCACTGCTAATGTAACAGCACAAATGATGCCTGCACAAGGGTAGGAGAGCGTGAATTGTGACTCTGACTTTCCTTGATTACTCCCTTGAGTGTGACAATGTGCTCAACCAAATAGCCTTATTCATTAAAGTTCTATCAACTATTAGAAGGTCATCTAGTACTTGGTTCCTACTCCCAACACGTCTACAGCACTATGCCCCCCTGAAGGCATCTTCAGCATTCATCAAGATAAAACCTTAGATTTCTGTAACTTTAATGTAGCAAGGGATTCAGGGAACCGGCCCGGAGAACCAATTTAATCCTCTTTTCATGAAAATCAAAAAAATGTATTACACCTACTTAAGAAAGAAAAATAAAATTTTGCAGATTTATGCCATTTGTAGGTAGGCAGAACACTCACATAAATTAGATTTCATTGAAGCAAAGTCTCCAGAAATTATAATCCATACCTGATAATCTCTTTTCCATGAGTTATAACAGCCTTTTCAAGCTCTTGTTCACTTAAGCTAAGACGTCTGACTTTATCAGGATCAACCCTGAGCCAATCATCTAATCCACCCTTTCCCTTCCCAGCATGAATAGCAATCAACCGCTTGTACTCTGGAGCTACAATCTGCTGAGACTTAAGCTTACCATCATCTAGATCTTCTTCATCCTGATCATCCTTTTCCTCAGACAAATCATCCTGACATAAAGTAATTGGAAGTCTTAAAATTAACACTTGGTCTTACTTTTTCTTTACCCAAAAAAAAAAAATGATTAAAGTATCTCCATGCACCTTATCATCACTTGCTACCCCAGCTTTAATGTCTGGCACTTCCTTCCCCCAAGCTTCTTCATCAGCTGAGTCCTTTACCTTCTGTGTTTCATCTTCTTTCTCCTTAACTTCTTTCATCTGAAGGTATTCTTTAGGTGGTTTGGTTGATATAATAATCCTCTTCTTCAATGATTCTGGTGAAGGGAACTCCTTCAAGCATTCTGCACCCGGAGAAAATAAAATATCTCCGAATGTTTGAGTGACCATCTAGAATTAAGTCACAAATATAGTTAATGAAGGACCAAAGAAGTGGTTAATAATCACTATAGAAATGCTTATACTCACCTCAGCCACTTTAGCTTGAAGATCTGGGGTAAGGTGGTCTTCTAGAGTGATTACCACAGGATAATCAGATGCAGAAAAGGCATGATCCTTAATAGACTTCAAACATTTAATGAGTTCAACTGGAGTGGTCAGCGTCCTACATAAAAGAACGGATCTCTTAAATGAAATGCAGACACTTACCATACAGATCTTTCATGCATGAACACAAAGACAGGGCACAACTAGAGATAGATTTGGCACCATACGGATGCAGAGACAATAAATTCTTATAAGCTAGGACATGGACAAGATGGTAAGGTAAGATACAAGCACACTCATGCACAATCTCATAACACATACACATTTAATACAAATCTCATGCTCCCCCACACCCCTCAACTCCCCATCCTTTGTTCGAAACCTTGCTGCATCTCATTACTTCCATTTCTAATATCCAAGTTTTTCATAATTTATGTGGAAAGAAAAACATACTTCCAACTCATTGGCAACTTGTCCAATGCATTAAAAAATATCATATTACAGACTTGTCCAATGCATATTTGAGACATTTTCTGAAGTAACTTGTCCAGTTTCATGTAGTGTGCAAGGTTTATTAGCTTGCAGCATACAAGAAAGTTAGAAATTTTTTCCTCAAATTGATTTGAATCAATTGCAAATCGTATTCATGGCTTAAAGGAAAGTTTCACGCTATATTATCCTCGTATTTATTGCATTTTGCTTTCATAACTAACCATCTTCTTCTTGTGTAATTACACATCCTTATTCAAGGCACAACACAAAGAGTTCAAAGGATATACAAGAAACCTATATTCTTGTCTGGTCTAATGTAAGGTCTATAAGCATAAATCTCAGTGACAGAGACTTCATTCATAGCAATGCCATATTAGAATTGATTGCCATTTGCAAATTAGCACCATTACCTTCCATGAAGAACATTGACATTATCTTTTGTGGAATTCGGCCAGATATCCAGTTCAATTACTCTAACACCTCTCTGCAATGCTTGTATGATTGGGACATCACTGCAGTCACTACTTAGTTGATTTCCCGTTAGATACGAATTATGGCCCGTATATACAAAATAGTGAGATAAAGGAGCTGTCATATCATGATGAACCTGAAATATTTACAAATAAAAGACATAAACAATAACTATTCAGTCTCAAAATGAAAATTAAATATAGAATCCACCGTGATATAAGGGCATCTCCAACCCTTGACTCAAACCTATATCAAATTTACATTTGGGTAAAAATCACTCAAAAACCTCTCCACTCCTTGACTCAAACTTATTTTAAATTGATTTTTACCTTCTCCCCCTTTTTTTTTTTAACCCAGATCAAGGAAAATCAAATGTTCACTCAAACTCTTCAGGACCATTTTGTATCTTTCAAATTTACAATTCCATCATTATTGAAGTTTTACTCAAATATATGTTTAAATTAAGTTTATCCATTGGAGTGCTTCATATTACTCAAAATTTTAATTTCAAATAAAAATTTGATTAAGGACCGGAGATGTTCTAAACACATACATATGTAAAACATATTGTATGTCTATATATGTTCTCGCCCACACACAGTATTATATAAAACACACAACTCACTTGGTGTGAACTAATGCACTTTTTATACTAAAATTACTCCTATGTAACTGCTCACATTTCTGCATTCAATTATTTATTTATTTATTCTCCACATCCATTTAAACCATTGCAATTTTCTTATATTTCTATGCATCGCGTGTGCTCAACTTTCAAGTATTTATACATGTATGATATGTTTAGGAAATCTTCAGTCGTTACTCAAATTTCTCAAAAACATTTTCTTACTTTCAAATTTACAACTCTGCCATAACCTAAGTTCTACTCAAAATTTATGTTTAAATCTAAGCTAATCCATTAGAGTGCTTCATATCAAATAAAGCTTTTACTCAAATTTGAATAAAATTTTAAGTAAGGACTGAAGATTTCCTAAACATAAACACAGTCAAAACATTGATGTATGTCTATATAAGCACGAACACACACACACACACACACATATACATGTATATGATAGGGTTAGAGAGTGAGTGAATGTTGCTGTTACCCGGAGAGAAGGGGAGAGAGGAGGATTGGAGTCGCCGGAGAGGAACTTGAAGAAGGCATCGAGGTGGAGGCCGCGGCGGTGGAAGAGATTGTTGAGGAGTTTCAAATGGTGGAGGCGGTCGATGATGGCCTGAGCGTCGTCGACGGTGGCGTTGTCTTCCTTCTGGAACTCGATCAAGAACCTGTGGAGGTGATCAACGTCCATGACTCCATTCTCAGAGTACCGATCAAACAATGCCTTGATGTCCGCCGGAGCTTCGGCGGCCGTGACGTTGAATCGTCGCCGGAAACACCAGCAGACTCTGTAGGTCTGCCTCGATGTCATTTTTAAGAGAGAGAATGTGCTCTAGAGAGAGAGAGAGAGATTGGTATTGATCTGATCTAATGTGGTTTAAACAGATAGGGAGGAAGGTATAGTTAGATATATATGTATACATTATTTAATTATTAATCATGAAGAAGTGATTTTTTCAGAAATAGGGAGGGGGAATAGGATAAGGTGGGGCCTAGTTGTGTTTGTTGATGCTGTGCCACTAACTCAACCAACACGAGTTTAACACGCTTCATATACGCATACATCTATTTTCAAACAACAATTGCGAATTGGGATCCTCCCCTTGAGCCCCTCATTCATTCCCTCTTTGCAGGGGCCTTCGGGTCCACTTTGAGGCCCAGTTTTGATAATCTGAACCGTTTATATTTTTAGATTTATTCAGTATATCATACCTGTAAAAAATCAAGTTGATCGAATATCATAAAGTATGTGTTCAGAAAACTGTTTATTAAAAAATAGTTTGTAGTCCCAATTTTTTGAACGCATACTTTCTGATATCCGATCAATTTGATTTTTTACAGGTATAATATACTGAATAAATCTAAAAATATGAACGGTTCAGATTATCAAAACTGGGCCTCAAAGTGGACCCGAAGACCCCTGCAAGGAGGGAATGAAGGAGGGGCTCAAGGAGGGAATCTGGACTCAACAATTGCTAGTGACACATCACTTTTACATGTTTGTTTTTATATTTTTTTTAGAATTGTGATAGCTTCTCTAATACTGTGTTTGTGTTTGGTTTGAGAATTTGAAAAGAAATTTAAAAAGAAAAATAGAAAAGATTGGTAAAATGTGAATAAAATATGTCTATATTTCATATAATTTCACACACTTTTTCTCTTTCATTTTCCAAATTCTTTCCTAAATCCTTAAACCGAACACGACATACATGAATTATTAAATATTTTATCAAATTTTTTATATGGGTGTGGGATCTATGTGATTTGTGTGAGAAATTTGATAAAAAATTTGATAATTCATTTAGGATGTATTGCATTTTTCTTTTTATTATTGGTGAAAGTTAATAATTTATTATTAAATTAATATATTGAGAAGTCAAAATTCACACATGTTCATACACTTTGCAATGAAAACTTGTCTGCTTATTCCATTCCTACAAACAAAATCTAAAATTCGCTTTCAAGAGAAATTTGGTGGCCAAAAAAGTTAGTCAATTAGACTAAAGTCTCTTGGTTCATCACTTTTACATGTGATGTGTGTCTATATCTGTTTTAATGGAAAATTGCCTCAGTTCTATGGTGTGTTGAAATGGGAAATTGGAGATTGTAAAATATGTGGTTCTATAGGGTTTAACTTCATTTTTTTTTAATTCAAATTGTTACAGTTTATTAAGTAAAGATAGTCTAAATAAGTTTAAAAAATATTAATTAGTTAAACGCTAAGAAAGGTGTGCTTTAATATAAGTTGTATCAAATAAACTCTGTATCTATTTTCTTTTCATGTTTGATTGTGGAATAACAAGAGGGAGTTGCAGGTGGAGAAAATTTATTAAGAACGTGTATTGTCATACTCAAATTATGAAGATACCTTAGGTATGTATGTTTGTTTGTAAAATTGTTAATATCTTTAACATTTTCTTTTTATTTTTTAATATATGAGAAAATTAACGAATAAAAATTACAATTTAAGATACAAATTAGCTTAATAAGACTTCGTACAAATATTCTCATTAATTGATAGCTTCATTATTTTCACTAGAAATAGATCATCATATTCACATGTGCATATTCTTAATATTTTTTTATATTTACTGCTCAATGTGCTATAAGTCTTCCTGTTGATTACTCCCTAGTGTTTGATAGGCAACTAGTTCAGTTGTTGCCTTGCTTGTACTCATGCTCAATGTAGAAGTTTAACCTTGAAAGAATGAATTTGCAAATGGCATTACTAGATCTAGATCTGTTTGGTCTTTCATAAGGTAAACTATCAGTTTGGGTATGCCCTTATGATGCCCTTCACCAGCTTCAAACCCTTGGAAAGGTCCCATGGCTCTGTCTTTGGGCTTGAGGTTATATTCAAGTTTCACTTGATTTTTTCCATTTTTTTTTTTTTTGTTTTTGGGTCGAACGTATACCAATCTGAGATAACTAGGCAACTCACTTACTGATTGAGATTGCCAAAAAAATGTTACTAAAATCATTACATTACAGCTTTCACTGGTCCAACCACAACCACAGCTGCAACACACAACTAATGAAATGACTGCAATATTGGAGAGTTGGAGCAATCATGCCCAAGTTAAGAAGTATGGAGCAAGGAGATAGCGGGTACCTTCATCATTGGTGTTAATATTTGGAATAATTCTATACGTATTAATAATCTTACCAAAAGTATAAATGGTCAAGTGTGATTGATTGTCAAGAAAAATAATAATATCTAAACCTACAGTGATATTTGGATGTGAACGTTTTTACTAAGGCTGTTAGTTAACTTTTAAGTAGATGTAATATTGCTCTAATATTTGTAGGTATGCAAATTTTAGCCAATTACAAATTGTCATATACTACAAAGACTTACAAATATAACATAATTATTGACAAATTAAATCTTGTTACGTGTTTAATTGGTCTCAAATCAATATTACATTGTGATCAAATCAAATATTGTCACGTGTAAAAATGATGCTGTAAAACTAGCCCTAGACTAATCAAATTAAGTAACTTATTACATTTTTTTATTCTTTTTTTTATCAAAGCCACTAATTACATTGAGGTGGTCTAGCCAATAAAATTATGGCACACCATTAAAGTAATGTTTTGGTATCTATCTCTAAACAAAGATAATTATTTAAGAAGTTGAAGTCTATTAAGACTCTATTCCATCTACGCCTATAAATAGGATGATCTCCAAGAAAATTTATATAATAATTCCACACACACAAAATCAAGTTATAGAGGGAAAAAATCTACACATCAAGCAAAAGAAAGTTCCATCAAATTAAAGCTCCAAACTCCCGAAAGACTTTTCACCAAAGCCCATCAATTTCCATAAAGCATAAAACTTAGAGATTCAAGTCAAAGTTTATCAATTTTATCTTCTTCTACTAAATTTGAAAGGATTCTACAACCTGATTAGGAAAAAGTTGTCAAGTCTTACAAATTTGCCACATTCTTCATATTATTTGGGGAAGATTTTGCCATTTGATTCGAAAACAAGCCGTCAAGCGCTTGAGTCAACTTTTTAAAGAGAAAAATCAAAATTGTTGGGTCAATTCCACATCGACCAGGGAGAGACTCCCACTTTCATCTTATAAGTGCATGCCAACTCCACCTGTCAACTGGCTTTTTTCCCCCGATGAGGAACAAAACCGTGAGGCGTCAGCCAAAGTGGACAATATATTGACGGGGTGTGAGAGGACAGGCATCACAAAATTTTATGTTGGGTCAATCCCACATCGACCAGGGAGGGACTCCTACTTCCAACTTATAAGCGCACTAGCCCCCTCCACTTGTCAATAGGCCTACGAAAACCGTTAAGGGGGACCAGCTCCCTCAACCCCAAAGAGAACAATATAGTGACGGGCCATGAGAGGACAGGCGTCCTCGTCAATATATTGTCTGCTTTGGCCGGAGCCTCGTGGTTTTGTTCCTCGTTAGGGAAAAATGCCTATTGACAAGTGGAAGGGGCCAATGCACTTATAAAGTGGAAGTGGGAGTCCCTCTATAGTCGATGTGGGATTTACCCAACATAACCTCCTAACGAACTGGGCCGCAATAGTGAGAGAGTTTGCTGGACAGCCCTTTTTCTAAAGCTAAATTTCGCGACGCCTGTCCTCTCACACCCGTTAATATATTGTCCGCTTTGGCTGGAGCCTCACGGTTTTGGGCCTTCTCGAGAGAAAAAGCTTATTGACAGATGGAGGGGGCTAGTGCGTTTAAAAGGTAGAAGTGGGAGTCCCTCCCTGGTCTATGTGGGATTGACCCAACATAACCACCCAACGAACTGGGCCGCAACAGCAGGAGAGTTTGTCGGACAGCCCTCCTTCTAGCGCCAAATTTTGCAACACATGTACTCTCGCGCCCTATCAATATATTGTCTGCGTTGGCCGAAGCCTCACAATTTTGTTCCTCTTTGGAAAAAAAGGCCTATTGACAGGTGAATGGGGCCAGTGCACTTATAAGGTGGAAATAGGAGTCCCTCCCTGGTTGATGTGGGATTGACCCAACATAACCCCCCAATGAACTGGGAATAACGAGAGAGTTTGCTGGACAACCCCCCTTCTATCGCCAAATTTCACAACGTCTGTCCTCTTGTGCCTCGTCAATATATTGTACACTTTGGCTGGAGCCTCACGGTTTTGTTCCTCTTCAGGGGAAAAGGCCTATTCATTGGTGGAGAGGGCCAGTACGCTTATAAGGTAGAAGTGGGAGTCTCTCCCTAGTCAATGTGGGATTGACCCAGCACAAATCATTCTTTTATATAAAAATATCCTAGAGATTGTAATCACATCATTTAAATTAATAAATTTTATATTTTGTCACTACTGTTTTTATCTTTATTTTACAGACAATAAATTTATGTGTACAATATTATTGAATGGTTAGGTATACATTATTGAAATTATTTTTAACAATTTGAGGGCAAGCTTGTTTGACTAGTAGGATTAATAATAAAACTCATTTGATTAGTAGGATTAATAGTAAAGGGATTAACAATCTGTTACCCAAAAGACAACCTAAGAGGAGGGTGAATTAGATTTTTACAAATAAAAATAATAATACCCTAATAAAAATTATGACTAGCACAATAGATAAATATAGTTAATGAAATAAAAATAATTAAAATAAGTGTTCTAACAACTATGTCAATTAATGATTTTAACACAATAAAAATATATATGGTAATTTAAATAAAATAAAGAGATAAGGGAGAGAGAGACAAACAAATTTATAGTGATTCAGTTTCAACTCGGCCTACGTTCACTTCTCAAGCTTCACTTGAGATTTTTCACTATTCTTTAGTTTCACAAGGTGCTAGCAACTTTTTCATAGATGAAGCAATCCTCCACGGATTTTACACAAACTTTCTAAGTCTAAAAAAAAACTGAGAGTACTA